TTAATTTAGCTTTTAAAAAATCAATTGTCTTGTGTTTTGGGCTCAATACCGAGAAGTCTTACTTTGCCACTGAATGCCAGTCTAAGGGTCTAGTACTGAAAACATCTGAATAGCACTTTTCTAAGTTCTTTTCTTTGTCCTAACCCACTTTCTACTCTGCTGGTGATAAATGATCAGTTCAAAGAAAACGAACAGCCCAGGGAAAGTTTATCTTTAGGAGGCCTGGAAGAAATAGGATTATTAGTGTGAGTCCTAATAATCTAAGGATCTAAAGCTTTATTTGTTATTATTTCATATTGTATTACATTAATAAGGCTTCCCTGATAGCTCAGTTGGTAAAGAATCTGCCTGCAATGCAGGAGACCCCGGGTTGATTCATGGCTCAGGAATATCTACTAGAGAAGGGATAGGCTACCCACACCAGTATTACTGGACTCCCCTTGTGGCTAAACTGGTAAAGAATCCACCTGCAATGCAGGAGAACTGGTTTGATACCTGGGTTGGGAAGATCCCCTGGAGAAGGGAAAGACTACCCACTCCAGTATTCTGGCCTGGAGAATTCCATGAACACCACAGTTCATGGTGTTGCAAAAAGTTGGACATGACTAAGTGACTTTCACACACACATTATGTTAATATATATCACTCATTATATCATATTATGTTATAATCAGGAGCAACCTGGTTATGACAAAGTGCTTTGAATTTAGCCAGCAAAACTATGAATAAAACAAAAAGAGTAGTTATGCTCAGGAATGTACTTGCAGAGGACTGGTGAGTTATTTGAGCCTGGACAACCTACCCCCTCAATGTCTGGCCACACTTAATGGCCATTAAGAAAACAAAAATAAACAAATGGGACCCAATCAAACTTAAAAAGCTTTTGCACCAGGAAGGAAATTAAAAGCAAGGTGAAAACGCAGCCTTCAGAATGGGAGAAAATGACAGCAAATGAAACAACTGACAAAGAATTATCTCCAAAATATATAAGCAGCTCATGAAGCTCAATATCAGAAAAACAAACAACCCAATCAAAAAATGGGACAAAGAACTAAACAGACATTTCTCCAAAGAAGACATAAGATGGATAATAAACATAGATGAAAAACATCATTCATTATTAGAAAGATGCAAATCAAAACCACAGTGAGGTATCATTTCAGGTTGTCAGAATGGCCGCCATCAAAAAGTCTACAAAAAATAAATTCTGGAGAGGGTGTGGAGAAAAGGGAACCCTCTTACACTGTTGGAGGGAATGCTGGTACAGTCACTATGGAGAACAGTGATGGAAAGTGACACATGAACCCCAATGTTCACTGCAGTACTGTTTACAATAGCTAGGATATGGAAGCAACCTAGATGTCCATCAGCAGATGAATGCATAAGGAAGTTGTGATACATATACACAATGTAATATCATTCAGCTATAAAAAAAGAGCACATTTGAGTCAGTTCTATTAAGATGGATGAAACTGGAGCCTATTATACAAAGTGAAGTAAGTCAGAAAGAGAAACCCCAATATAGCATATTAACACATATATATGGAATTTAGAAAGACAGTAATGACATCCTATATGCAAGGTAGCAAAAGAGACACAGATGTAAAGAACAGACTTTTGGACTACTGGGAGAGGTAAGGGTGGGACGATTTGAGAGAGTAGCATTGAAACATGTTTATTACCATATGTGAAATAGATGACCAGTGCAAGTTCGATGGACGAAGCAGGGCACTCAAAGCCAGTGCTCTGGGACAACCCAAAAGAATGGGGTCGGGTGGGGGGTGGGAGGGAGGTTCAAGATGGGGGGACACATGTGCACCTGTGGCTGATTCATGTCAGTGTATAGCAAAACCACCACAATACTGTAATTATCCTCCAATTAAAATTAATTAATTAATTTAAAAAGTTAAAAAAAAAAGACCATTACCAAGTAGTCTGAGAGGCCTAATGGCCATGTGTCTAAGACAGCCTTAGATAACACAGTGTACACTGGGTAGTGCTTAAATTGTCATAACCCCACGGCATTCAGGAATATAAGTTTTCTGCCTGAATGGACAAGTTAACAGTCCAGTTTTCTAGAAGATTCAGAGGCTATCAAAATAATTTCAATTCTCTTCTCCACTATATCTTGATTAGAGTGATTAGTGATACTAACAATTTGATTTCTCTTTTTGCTCAGCTTTCTATCTTCCTGCCTTATATGATCTTTAACATTAAAGTTAATTTATATCTTATCCATAACTCTTCTGCATGAGTCTTTTTTTTATAAAGTCATTTGGAGAGCAGAACTTTTTTTTTTAATTTTTATCAAACTAGAGTTGATTTAAAATGTTATGTCAGTTTCAGGGGAACATTTTTATTAACCTTATTTCTAGAAATAGAAATTTAATCCATAATGAAAGAAGCTGCTTGATGACTCCCAACTATCTGTTATTTAATACCTTATTCTTGCAATTCTTACACCTTCTCAGGGTTTCATTGTACATGTTTGTTGGCTTGATTATACACACTTAATCCTTGTTTGTACATCAGAATGTCTATAATCATGTCTCTTTTGTGCTTTATTATATATTCATTTCCCAAAATAGTGTCTGGACTATGTGTATGCATGTGTGCTAAGTCATTTCAGTCGTGACCAACTCTGCAACCACCTGCTTGGACTATAGAAGGAACTAAATAAATATGTATGGAATGAATGAATTAAGGAATAAATATTAAAGCTTCAGAAATATGCACTGATGATGTATGATTCAAAGACACAAAGGATGCTGGCAAAAAATAGCTTTGATTTCATAGGATGAGACCAACTCTCAGTTCCATTGGGTCTTCCCAGTTAGATATATTAAAAGCAAAATCAGCAATTCATGATATTCATTCCTAGTTGTACTTGCAATGGACAACATAATACAGAGAGTGAGACTGTTGTAACATTTAACAATAATATGCATCCCTGTTAATAAATAGGGCACTGTAACCTAAATTAGCATGTAACCACAATATACATGAAAAAGACAATAATAGGCAAAATACGTGCTTTATTTTTACTCAAGCTGCATACAGCTCCCCCTCTAAACCATGAAAAAAGTATCATCAGTAACAACATGCAGATTTTCCCCTCATTTTTTCTCCTGAGCCAGAGTACTTTAAATAAGAATAACTCATTCCATGAAAAGCCCTCATGTCAACAATCAAACCTGAATAAACACAGACTCCTCTTAGTAAGTATAAGCAAACAGAATGATCATTGAAAAGATAAAAGACTTAGAAACTCTAAATAAAGTAATTGATCTGACAATACTAAGCAAACATCCCTACATGGCTTAAATATAATAAAATTATGGAATAAACACAAAATGTATTTTAATAAGATTTGCAAAGAAAATGCAAGTACAAACTAGAATATTCACTGTGGTAAACATCTACATAGGTATTGATCTAGAAAACTTTCTCTTTCTTATTTAAAAGGGGGAGGGTGAAAATATACTACCATAGACATTAACAGACTGTATAAACACACTTATTTTTATTAATGATAATGCCCAATTAAAGAAAAATAAGATAGGTTTGAGTTACAGGAGAAACATCTCTCACAAATGAAGAGGAATAACTTTAAGTATTAGCAATCTGACTCAAAGTAGAATACACCACCCCTACCTGACATATTTTCCAAGAAACCATCTGATCTTCTACACCTAACTGATTATAATTATGTCAATCAATAAAAAACCATATCAGAAGTTGTACAAAATTTAATTGATAATATCAAATACTCATCCTTAATTTTTTAAAAAAGCTCAAGAGATCCCAGTGAAAGGAAGAAACAAATACTTTAACTGTAATACTTTTCTTCGTCCCATTCAAAGAAAATACCCAAGTTTTCATGTCCAAAATAAGGCATCACGGGATTTGGGTATGTAGAAAATTGGTTTAGAGAGAGCTATGCTAATAAATCTGATGCTTGTCACTGAGAGAAAGTCCCACTTAGATTGAGAAGATGACTGGGTATTTTAGAGGGTTGCATAGGGCTAGCTTGCAGAGCAGTAATTAAGCGGCACATTTAAAAGTGTTGGGGAAAGAACAACAAAATAAATCCAAAGAAAGCAGACACAATAAAATAAAGGTAAAAGCTCATATTAACTAAAAAGACATAGAAACAATCAAACTGAAAGCTGTTTCAAACAACCCAATAAAATTCTTAGAAGTTTTCATCAGGTTGACGAAGAAACACAAAATAAGCAAATGCAAAAGAAATTAGCAAACACACAGCAAAGATTAACTAATTCATTCCTACTACGCACAAGTAAAACATAGCTTAGATAAAATTGATGATTTGTCTGCAAATAAAAAAAGACTAGCAAATAAATGGAGCAAAAAAGGCTGCCCAGGAACTCCCACCCTCTGAGCCCTCATCCAAAAGTCCCTTCTCCTCCCCCAGCATCCAGTTACCAGCTCAAGACACCTTCACAGGAGCCAATGATTCCAGGGAGGGGACTCAGCTATCTGGGTGAAGACCAGAACTACTGAGAAAGTTGGAAAGGAGGGGGCACAGTCCCTCACCCCTCCTTGTAGCCCTCGCCACCCTGCACGAGAGGAGGGCGAAGCGGGCACTCGGCCACTGTGGACCCCGACCGAGGTCAACCTCTGCAGGAACCCAGGCCCAACACACCGAACCTTTCCCTCCAGTGGCCCCAGAAGCATCTTCCTTCCCCTGCTCCCGGCTCCCTCGGCACCTTTCTGGCTCAAGGCCCCAGGTGGTTCCCCAACTCCAGGCTCTGGCGGCGGGTTCCAGAGAACTCGGGCCCTGAAAACACGCGGTTGCCCACCGACCCCGGAGGCCCCGGGTGACCCCCTCGGGCCCCCAGCGACATCCAGCACACAGGCTCCGGCAAACTGCTGCCATTTCAGGCTCTTTCCCGCGTCTTAGGGCCACAAGGCCCCAGGACAGAGTCCCTGACACTGGGCCCTGGTGGGCTCCCGCCAACCCAGGCCGGCTCACCTCCATGTCCACTAGCTCCAGTGGCCCCAGGAGGGTTCCCCGGCCTCGAGCTGCTCCTAAGTCACCGAGTTCTGCGGCTGCAGCAAACCGAGGCCTGCGGCTCCGGACGCCAGTGGAGTCAGACAGCTTCCCCAGCACAGGTTCTCACGAGGACGTTCTCCGTGAACTGAGGCTCAGCTCGCCTGGGCACCAGCGAGCTCCTGAGGGCCTAGGGGAGTCTCGGGACGCCGGGCGGCTTCCTTCTGTCCAGGCTCTCAGAAAGCCGGTGAACGCAGGCCCGCTGGCTCAAGTATGGTGGATACTCCTGTGGGAGGACACAGGCGGCTTCCCAATGAAGTCGCCGGAGGCTTCTGAGCGTCCGGCTCTCCCAGCCGGCCGCGGCCCGGATCCACCGCCGCACTGCGGGATTCCCGCGGCTCCTGTGCAGCACTGCGGACTCAGAGGCCAGGCGTAAGCCATTATTCCCCGGCGCCTGACTGACCCCTTCCGAGCCAGAGCCAAGGGCCCAGACCCATCAGGACCGACTCCAGAACCAGGCCTTCCCCCGTGAACCCAAGCTCCAAGCCTGCACGTCTGGACCGTAGCACCAGGACAGGCCCTAAGAACCAAACCCCAGACCAGCCCGCCTGCTGACCCAGGTGCCAGGCCTACCTGCCCAAGGTCTCCAGAAGCCAATAGACACCAGCAGGATCTCTGGGGGCTCTGACTGGTGACGGGGTTTGCTGCTGAAGCCAGTCTGCAAAGAGTGGAGGAGGTGCCTACACCCTCAAATATGCAGACGCCAACGGAACAGCACAAAGAGCCTGCTATCAAGGAAACGTGATTCCACTAAAGGAAACGGGCAAAAACTCCAATAACCGACCCCAAAGAAAGGGACACCTAGGAATTGTCTGCAGAACCTGGGCAGTCTTCTGTTTCTGGATTGGAGATTGAGCATTGCCAAGTCTGGGCTACGCTCTTCCAGCTGTGTTGTTTCTCAACTTTTAAGGTATCTCCCTAACAAAATCCATTTACCTTCTCACTGCCTTTTAGTGTTAGATTTCTCTTGGGTTCTTTTCAGGGCTTATGGTTGTATTTAAGTGGGAGGAGAAGGAGAGGAGTCTAAACTATTTTATCCTCGAATATTTCCTACTATAGAATAAAAATATTAAACTTTAATACTTTTTCATATTTTTTTGCATATAGAGCTATTTCAGGGGAAAGACATAACATGTAAACAAAAAACAAAAGATGTAAACAAAAAACAACAAAAAGAATTACTGATATTTAGATGACCTCAAGAAAGTAATTTTTTTTATTAAAAAAAAAAACAAGATCATTAGGAAATCAATACTGAGTTTTGTTTATAACTCCAGTTTTTATAAATCTTGGTGAAATTCAAACTACATTTCCTGTTTGTTTCTTTGGGAAATGTTTACGTCAGTGATTTGATATTACTTTGAAATATTCCTTGGCTAATGATATTATTACCACAGGAAGAACATTTTATCTCATTTTAAAAAGAAAATGTACTTCATTCCTGCAGAAAATGTATTGACTTTTAAAAAAAGAAAATAAAGTTAGATGGAATTTTTTAAAATACATTTTTCCTTTAAAAAGTCTTTTGTACATTTTTTAAAGAAAGAAACGAGTGTCACTAGTTGTAACTATTGCTTGTATTTATAGATGTTTGTACAAAAACTATACAGTAGAGTTTAAAAACTATAATCTGTTTGTCACTAAACTGTAAAGATATAAAAAGGCTTCTAGTTATCTAATTAATCATGATTACTCATAATTTTAGAATAACTTTTTTATTATTTTTTATTGAAGAGTCTATCTGCTAATGCAGGAGGTGCAGTTGGATCCCTGAGTGGGGTAGATCCTCTGGAGAAGGAAATGGCGACCCACTCCAATATTTTTGCCTGGAAAATCCTGTGGACAGAGGAGTCTGATGGGCTGCAGTCCATGGGGTCACAGAGTTGGATATGACTTAGCAAATTAAACAACAATGACAACAATAGTTGAGTTATAATGTTATATTAGTTTCAAGTATTCAGCATTATGATTCAGGTTTCTTTATAGACTATATTCCATTAAAAATCATTGCACAATAATATTTTTAATTTCCTGTACTGTACAATATATCTTGTTGCTTATCTGTTTTATACATAGTAGTTTGTATATCTTAATCTCATACCTCTAATTTCCCTTTCTCCCCTTTGGTAATCACTAGTTTTTTCTGTATTTGTGATGCTTTTTGTGGTTTGCATATAAATTCATTTGTATTATTTTTTAGATTCAACATAGAAGTAGTATCATAGAGCATTTATCTTTCTCTGGCTTAGTTCACTAAGAGTATTCTTTTGGCTCATTCACTTTGCTGCAAGTGACAAAATTTCATTCTCTTATTGGCTGAGTAATGTTCCACTATAGAAAAAGATATATCCCACACATTCCTCATCCATTCTATTCCTCTGTTGATGGGCACTTGGGTTGCTTTCATATATTGACTATTGTAAATTGTGCTGCTGGGGTGCATTTATCTTTTCAGATTAATGTTTTTGTTTTCTTTTTATATATTCCCAAGAGTGGAATTGTTGGATCATGTAGTAGTTCTGTTTTTAGTTTTTGGAGGAACCTCCATACTGTTTTCCATAGTGGCATCACCAATTTGCATTCCTACCAACAACATACAGGAGTTCTCCTTTCTCCACATCCTTTCCAAATTTATTATTTGTAGACATTTTGATGACAGCCATTCTTGCAGATGTGAGCTTTTGTCTGATTATTCAACTCAGATCGCATTCATTACTTTCGCACCACCATGGGTACATATTTTTTCCCCTCGCAATGTCAAGCAGATTTTTAGATACATATAATTCCCATCATTAGCTTTTCCATTTTTGTATTTTTGTAAATTCACTGATTCTACTATTCTTTGGATCATTCTAATGTTTGAGAGGAAAAATACTCATACTTACTTAAAGGCTAAACTTTGATTCTTCTAAAAATTTACAAAACTCTGAAACCTTACCAATTTTCCTTGCTCAGAAAATAAGAATTCCTGACATTTAAACATGTTAAATGCTAGGTAAAGGACCTACATTTTCACATATACAAATTCTTTAGAAACTGAATTTTGTGGCAACGTTAACAAACCTTCATTCTGCCAATAAGCTTAGAGTTTTGTATCTAATAAAAATAATGGCTTAGTAGAAATAAGAGTGAACAGTTTATTCTCTTTGTTACCTTCCTGGTTTTCAAACTCTCTCAGGGTGGTGTTCAGTTGTGTAAAAAGCTGCTGTCTAGTATGGGATAAACTGTAGGATGCCACACTAGGAGACATTTCATAAGGCTTCTGTAAGAATTCTGCTATATTGAGCCAAACTTTTTATTTTCCTGGCAGCAGGTATAGATTTAAATCAATCTCTATTTTTGTCTCAATGGTCAAACTGAGAAATAACCGTGGTTCTTATTTGTTGGTTCTCTTTACTGTATGTGCTAGACATTTCTTGTATGCTTCATAACTGAGATAGAGGGAACGCTAAAATATGAAACACATAAAAACAGTCAAAGAGCTAAGTCAAATAGATTCATTGTGAGGGAGACCGATCGCATCTATCGGCTTCTTGCTATCTAATAGTGCAAAAAGCATGTATTAGATATAGTGACTGAGAGAGCAAATACTAGCAGTGCAACCAGATAATCTCTAAGAAATTCAAAGTCATAGAGAGCGCTGACCCAACACTGCCAAACAATTCAATCCAGAAACAGATATCCCTGCATCCATCACAAATATTCTAGTTTCTGAAATTATTAATAACCACACTACCTATCTTCTCAGAAAGAGGGAGGTATAATAGTTAAACCAGAAGTGTGCAATGCATTTGCAAAATAATTTTGATGAATAGAAACTATGAAAATAGATTTCTGTTGCAAATCAAAGAGCTATCTGATATCATATACCTTTCAGACTTCTTCGGGAGACTTCAGTTCAATCACTTGATCTCTTTCTGTTCCAAATGCCATTTCTGGGAATGTGACTCAGCAAAAGTAGATCCCTGAAAGGTGATACATATATTTATTTAATGACTTTGAAAGAAGAGTGGCTTAGTACAGCTTCTAAAAGGCCCAAGCTGTAGTTAAAAATTTTCAAACCCTTTTAGTTCTCTGTAGGAAGAGGGGCATTTTGTGGACTTCCCTCATGGAATTCGTAGTGTACATCTTATATGTTATTGCATTGGCTACTGATGAAGGCAGTACTGTGGCACAATCTGATTAATTAATACACAGAAATGTTTGTAATAATGCCTGGCACATAGTATGCAAAAATGTAAATCCTTCTGTTTAAGGATACCAACCATTTCTTTATCTCAGCTAAACAAAAATCATAATCACAGCAAAAACAAAACAAACGAAGATCACCAATGACAGCAGGTAATATTTGTTTAGTAAAATATGGACAAAATAAGCCTCCAGTAAATTTCAGACATAAGAATTTAAAGTCAATCTAGCTGACCTGGTGCCTATGTATTTAAACATGTTATTTTGCATGTAAAACGTGCACATTTACCAACTGCTTCCTAGAGAAGTTTGACAAATACTGATCCCAATTGATCAGCAGCTATTCCAGACTAAGAGAAGAAAATATGGGAATTCAGGAGACTATGTTATGCACCACACTGAGAAAGCCAAGACAAGCAGCAGTTTCTCACAGTACTTCCTGTGTTTACCTTCATTTCAAGGGCAATCCATGCTGGATTCTCAGAATATAGGACCATCCAAATAAGTGGGATTACAAAATCACAAATTTCTGCTATTGAGAAAGCAGAGGGAAAAAGGACACTTTACTGTTAATACAAAACAGGAGTAGCAATATTATTCTTACCATCATACCTGGTACAAATAATTTTTCATCATTTTTTTTCCTGATCCTTACATGAGACAGACTTATTTGGCATACAAACACATCTAAAACATATTTTCAAATATATCTTTTTTCTAAAATCCTCAAGAATTTACACATATATATTTAATATTTATCAATATAATTTATAATATATATAATATGTAACATGTAATATATGCAAATATAATAAAAATCATAATGTCAATTAAGCAATGTTTTTGCCTTATGAAAAAAAGTATCACTGTAAATATACAAGAAGTAGTTTACTTAAATATTTATGAAAATCTAAAATAAACTGTATTTAGACCATGCACACACACACATCACCCACAGAGATTTTCCAAAGAATTTTAGCTACACTTGCTACTGATACCAGTGGAAAAAATCCACTCCTGTTATTTATCAGTTCAGTCACTCAGTCATGTCCAACCCCTTGTGACCCCATAGACTGCAACACGCCAGGCCTCCCTGTCCATCACCAACTCCCGGAGCTTGCTCAAACTCATGTCCATCTAATCAGTGCTGCCATCCACCCATCTCATCCTCTGTTGTCCCCTTTTCCT